TATATGTGATAAAAGCAGTTGCAGACTCTTCTGATGATGATTTCCATCTTTTTTTCATTACTTCTAGGGTCAGAAGATCTTATCAATGTATTAGCTGGTAACAATTATAGGGTACAAGTTGTAATTTCAAAACAATACTAGCTTTGCAGTCTACAAAAACATATTATAATGGATTATAGACAAATTATAAATAAAAACAAAATATTAAATTTACTTGATTGTTGAAAATTATCAACTTGTTTGATAAAATCCTTAACAATTTTATCTTTGACAGACAATCTTCTAGTTTCTAGTAGGTATTAACCAGTTTATCTATAACTAWAATCCACTTTTCATAAAAAGTGTTCCAGTTTTGAAACAACTCTTTTCGCATAGGATATAATGCATTAAAATCTTCGCATATCTTAAAACCAAAAACAACAATTAAACGAGGAAAATATGGACCAATTAGTTTATACTAACATTTAAAAAATTTACAATCAATGAGGATACAGTTGGAATGACTTCACTTCAGCGTGTAAATGATGAACATTTAATAAATAAGCACTGAACAACAACAAAAATATAAACGTAAATACGCCAATCGCAAATCACCAATGTATTAACACAGTATATGAGATGACAAGGACTATTGATAAGGGTATTTCCAGTAGCTAATATTTTTATATTGATGCTAATTTATATTGCCCAAAATGTTAGGGCATAGTATCCGATTTCTTACTTTGCCCGTAATATATATTTTTATTTTATTCCGGGCATTGCATCCGAACTAACAATCCCTAGATAATCAAACACCACAAACCCATATAATCCAAAAGATTTTGTTTTAAAAACACCCGAATTAACCAAAACTTCAATTAAAAATTTTGATTAACTTAAAAGCAGAATAATTTTGTTTTTGACATTCTTCGTATGATACATAATTTCGTATGTATTACTTTTGGTTACTTCGATTTTGTAGTTTAATAAGAAAAATACTATTAGCAGGAACAAATTCATCTTCAATTAGAGGCAAAATTAATAAATAGTTTCTTGAAAAGTTTGCCTTAATTTTTTATTCTGGTGTTTGAACACCCAAATACATCCAGTATCTGAAACCTGAATAAGTGATTTGGTTGCAAAGCTCTGCTTATATTAATGATCCTATTAGGCAAATTTCTATACCAAAATTATAATTAAAAGAATTTGCCACCGCGTTCAGAGTGGTCGCTGTCAATTTTTATTTCCATACAAAATCCATACAAAAACTAGACCGGATCCCATTAACCAATTAGCCTCCAGTCCATATTATCCATAGTCATATATAACTAGATCTCGGAGGTTGATGACCTTAATATCATTAAAAAAATTACCTGAAAAAAATACAAATTTTGTTTAAAAATTTATTAAAATACATTTTTTTCTCACGCTATTTTACTATAAAATTTTAGATAAATTTATCAAAGCTTACAACTTACCTTCAATTATTGCATTTTAAGTAAATAAACGACGATTATCTGTTAATAAATATTTATATTCGGAAAATCTTATCTCCTCATTTGTGTGGGGGAATGTCAGAAAATAACACGTACCCCTGAAAAAAAAAAAATTTTAAAAATACATACATAAAAAAAATTTTAAATATAAATTACACTTTTAATCAAATTTCATCCTTATATTATGTCCTATATTAGATATGACATATGAATACATCAACACTTGATACTCCTCTAATAAATTGTTCGCATACATTTTTTTAGCCAAATTTGCATTATATGTCCTTTATGTGGTCGTTTGTAAGTTAATTTTAAATTTCCCAATTTCAATTAATGTTAACTTGGCTTTATTAGCCCCTATAATAGGGGCACGTTTACCTCGTATACCTCGTTTTTCATATTTTTTATTAATTTCTATATCGATGGATTTTTATGCCTAACCAAATSACTAAACCTATTATTCCATCCCACGTTAATGGTTCTACTACTATTTAATAAGGTTCTTTGGTGCACATTCCACGTCGAAGGAGGGATTTGAGGAAGAAGCCAACGAAACCGTATTAGTTAAATAATTTACTAAGTCATCCGGGCCTGAAAGAACAATAGTTTTAACATAGTCTATTCCTCCCTTTACGTGACATAGTGGGAGAAAAGCTAAGCTATCTAACATACCACAAAAATGGTTGAAATCCTTGTCTGTTCGATATTTAGTCCTTAAACCAAGTTTTTGTATACACCTATATGAGTGMTTTGGCATAAATGATAAAAACAGTCCATTATTACTGTTRAGTGACTACAAATAATATTTTTAAGAGCATTAATAACAGATATTTCAAAGTCTAAATGTACTGTAACTAGTGTAACTGGATCAGGGTAATATTTATGTTTATTGCWTTCGTCCAACAGTATTCTGAACATTTGTTCATATGTCGATTGAATTTTCTTTGTAACAATAAATAAATTGCAGTTGCATACTCACAATTGTGTTTAACGCAAATAATATATTATACAATTGTAAAAAGTTTTTAGGCATAGGTATGACCAAAAGTTCCATCGATATACCACTATTTTGAATGACTCAATTTATCTAACATGTTGTATTGTACCAAACATGATAATACTCTCATTTGTATTTTCAGATCGGTTGTCATGTAAAAGAAAGCATTGACTATTCCACAAAGACCATTCTCCTAAAATTTAAATGTCATCGTTATAATACTATTACCCAGGGGTGGCCACTAACCTTTATTTTGGGAGCCGCAAATTTATGAAGCTATTTTGAGGTGAGCCACTTTGTTAAGATAGGTAGGTATGTTTATAAAACGAAAATATATTTTTGATTTATTATAACAAATAAAGGAACATTCATTTTTTACACTACACAGAGCATAATTGTTCAGGTAGTAAGATAGTAGGTATTAAGAAATGGGATTTTACTTTTGGGTTTTTTATATTATAATATGAATTAATTTTACTCTAAGCTTAGTTTCAACTTTCAAGAGTCACGCGAGACTCACTCGGAAGCTCACTCGGTAGGTACTGAGTTAATTACAATTTAAAATTTGACTTAGTGTAGAACCAGAAACTTTGGCGATTTATTTAATTTTAATTTTAGATTTTACTACTTCGATATCACTTTRATCAGATGCATGGTTATGATCGTGATGAGCAGTTACGACTTTTTTTCATTTAATTTTGATTTTATTATAGCTTGACACTTAAATGAATTACTTTTCACGTATTTCCACMGAATAAATCGATTACATTCTTGTGTTTTGTATACATATAACCTTTTTAAAGCAACTTTTTCATTATTTTTATTCGATTTTGATATTTACATTATTAATCACGGAGCACAAAAAGAATTACATGTAACAACTAACAACGAATTGCATGTATTACAATAAYGAAAACGACCGAATACACTGAACACAGACTATAATAATGTAAAAATAGTAAAATATTAATATTAAATATTTTCATTTTTATCGATCGAAAAGCGTTATATTATGTTAATTTTATACCCATTTTTACAGATAAGTAATGATTTTTCGCAGTTACTCATTAGGTACCAGGTACCTATTAGATAAAGTTAAAATATTATTTATATCGTAATTGAACGTAATTGAATACCACCGTAACTTAATTTCTTGGGTCTTAAGAGTACGTAACAGTGACGGTATTTGTTGTCTCCGTCTTACCAGTGCGTAATATAACAAATTTACGCTTAGCAGAACACTTGTAGCTCCTTTAGTTTAAAAATTACAGTGAATCGAYCTATTATGAAACTTGATGGTAAGAACATTATCTGTGTTTGTACGTTGGTTTTTTACGATAATTCAATTTTTAAGTGAGTTATGAGCATATAATATACAGTACATTAAAAATGCTCTTAACTCACTTAAAAATTGAATTATCGTAAAAAACCAACGTACAAACACAGATAATGTTCTTACCATCAAGTTTCATAATAGGTCGATTCACTGTAATTTTTAAACTAAATGAGCTACAAGTGTTCAGCTGAGCATAAATTTGCTGTATTACGCACTGGTAAGACGGAGACAACAAATACCACTACTGTTAGGTACGTACTCTTAATGAGAAAAACTTGTGTTGAAAGTATTAATTACTTATTACTTGAATAATTAGTTTCAATAAAAAAATAATTTACAGTAGGTAGGTACAATAATTATTTTTTTWATTTTTTTTATTACCGGGGACATTTTTTCCAGAGACTTTTTTTTCGTTTAGCGTGTGGGGGACACAAGCCTACTCCAAACCTGTCGTTTCCAGTCCATTATATCTTAGTCCATGGTAATTTCCAAGTTTTAAGTTATCGGCATAATAGTCGACAAGAAACTATAAGAAAAAATTGCTAATACTGTAGAAAATTACCTACCACTAATGTCAAAAAATTACTTAAAAAATTATAAAAACCAAAAAATATAAAAAAATTCAAAATAAAAATTAGTGACAGATTCACATGCTAATGAAACATATTTGTGGCCAAGGGAGCATAGTCAAAAAAGTTCTCAAAAAATGCAGAATGCATTAACTTCCGAGCCGGCGAGCCCCTATCAAATTCATAACTATTAGGTAACTTACATGTCTATGATATTACTGATACTACCTTAGTTCATGAGCTATGAATATTTTAATATAAGGATACTAATAATATCTCGAACAAAGATACAATGACGGTAGACAGCAGCTGTTATGTAGCAAGATGGATTTATCACAGATACATAATACATATAACCATACAATCGGGATTCATAAGTAAATCCACAATGACATTATGTAGATTAATAAGTCTGGATTAAATAGTTGTAACAAAATACTTGTTATGTTTATGGATTTACTAATGTCTACTCCTATATATTATTATAACACGAATTGTCAATATTCCTTATCATTGTAACTATCTTAAATCAAAATATAACTTATTATGTTATCAATATTATCACATATTATCATAGACACCTTATAAGGTCTATGCATATTATACTTAGTTCACAAGATCAGTGTATCGACTATCGGTTTCAAAGTTTTTAATTTTGTAACTAATTCACAAATTTGAAGCTGAAGCATATCTTAATTGTAACTGTAGTTTTGTTTAATTTTTTTTTATTATTTAAAATTAGTTTATACTATAATATTGACTGCGTACTGGTCCGCACTATCAGATTATCAAAAAATTGGTAAAATAAAAAATATCTAATCGAGCAATTTTACTTAATTAAATCATTTGAAGTAATTACATTTATAGTTAGATTGTTWAGAGCTGTTGGAGTTTAATAACACAATTTGAATTAACTTCTTCACTTAAAGAAAAATGTATACTTGAATCCGTGCAGTCACTTGTTTTTTTATTCTWAAGTAATGTCTTTATTTTTTATCACTATATTAGAATGATCCTCTATACTCCAGTTCCTATACATTTGGTACTAAAATACTAATTGTTACTTGTATTTTTAAAATGTGATTTGATGAGGTTTTTGAATACTATTCATTAAAATATTATATGATTACACTTGTGTGATAAGTATAATTTAAAATTAATTAATTCATTTTTATCATCTCTTAAGATAGGTAATGTCATTATTATTTTAGTTGGTCATTTTTACATTTTAATGTATATTTCCGTGTGTAAACTTTAATTGTATAGAATATTGTTTGAGGTTTATTCATTTTGTTTGAAYACAAAAACAATAGGTGACCATCATAAAGTGATAAAGTGCATTTCTACCAAAATGCACCTTAATATTATAGATAGTGTAAATAATACATAATAACCATGTTGATTGTTTATATTGATAAGGTTCTAAACATATTTTGAATAGAAATTTATTTTCACTTCTATTACTAATTACTAAATAGGTATATAATATAATTCACATCTACTATTAAAGTCTCTGTACAATTCCAACAGAAGTGAGTTTCATTTATGCTGACATTCATTAAAAATTAACCAATGTTATCTTTCAATACTGTTTTGACATACAAATAGATCTACTGCCGATTTATCATATCCGTATTAATACAGTTTTTGTATAAGAATTAAAATCTAGAATCTACCTTTTGTGTTGAAATATTTCTAAACATTTTGTATTATTATCTACATTATTTATTTATTGATGTTACAAATAGTTGTTAACTGCAAACTTTTTGTTGCAGATTTTGTTATTCAACCAACTGTTATGAATAATGATTCTGGTATAATWAGCTTTCAGCATTGTAACAATAAGAACATATACTGTATAAACATTCCAACTAATTGTCCTATTTGCAAAATATGCTTAAAAAATTTGCAGAGCATTCCAATCAGGTAAACTATTATTTTCATTGTTATTTAGTCTTATTTTACCTGGACCTATCTTTAAACATTCTCTTATAGACTTACAAATATAATGTTAGGTTGGATTGAAAAAATTCTTAAAATATATCTTTTTTACTTTAGGAATGATTTGTAAAACTCAATAATAATTCTACGAAAAATATGGACACTATATTGTTTTAAATAAAATATAGGTACCAAAAAGTGTATGATTTGTAAAATATTAGATTTTAAATTAAATTTTTGTTGAAGAACAGAAAAAAAAGAAAGAAAAATAGTAACAATAAAAATATTACATTAAAAAAAAATGTATTATTTTATAAATAACAGCTTTGAATGATATAAAAAATATTTTCAAATCATTTATACTTTTCTATGGAATATGTCAAAGTAATAGTGTTAATTGTCACAATATAAGCGATTAAATCGAGAAGATAGACTGAAAATTTAGGAAATATCCTTAAAAATATACTTTGACCATTGACATTTTTTCCCCTTCAAGACCAGTCTATTTGAATCATATTGACAAATAAGTCCATTAAGTTTTGATTTCAATAAGCAGCGATCACTGTATTACATATAACCATAGACCTTGTATAAGGATATAAACATATAACTTACAGTACAAACTATAAAAATTATAGTGTAGCCATGTCGATTATACTYCACCTATAGTGTACTACTAAGTACTTCTAGTCATGGCTCATAATTTAAAAAACAGACAGTGAGATACATACAGTGCTTGTAACCCCCCTAACTTATAGACCTTTTACTAATTGACAGGTCCACTTCACGTCTCCACCATGTCAAGATAGGTGGCACTTTTCGGTATTGAGTTAGTCTGATATGGTACCATTTATGTATATATATTATTATTATTTTGTATTKTTTAAATGTTGTATTTTTATTTATATTGTTATATATATATTAAACGAGCTCCATCACTGCACCATGTCGTCATGTGGCTATCAATATATTTGGTATCGGATAGGCCGGTCTATGTTTCTAACCTATATATAACTCTCTGTATTTAGTATCTGCTATAATATAATATTATTATAATCTTTTTAGCCAATATTCAGCACTTTCTACTGCTTTACATTTTTGAAAGCATGATAATCTTAAAATTTGTTCTATGTTTGGGTTTCATAATTACTGTAGTCTGAATAAGAACAAWGAATGCAACAGATTTATAAAACAAGTATGGAATGAAAAATAATTATTGCATTATTAAACTACTAGTTAAAATTAAGTGGTATTATTAAAAGTAAAATATTGAGCTATKGTTTTTTTTGTTTACCATAATTTTATAACAAATCATTTTTAAGAGAATGAAGTTTATGAAATWTTACAATAATACATCATGTGCACACTGTAGTTTATTCTGTTATATATATAAATCTGTGTCAATAAGCAACAWTTTTCTAMAACAAGTTTAAAATAAATACATTTTGAAATATATTTATTTTTTATTTTAAGAGTCCCTTATCCTTTTGTAAGAGCATCTCAGCAATCATGCTCTGTTGTTGTGAAACCAACTCGAGAGGATTTTTTAAAGTGAGTGTATTTAATGTTATAGTTTTTGTAAATRATTTCATTTGAAAAATTCATAGAACAAAAAAAAACCTATCTTATAATTTTATTAGTAATTACCAGTTAATGGATGACTTGCATATTGGAGTGACAACGTCAAGAGGTACTGTTATATCATATGATTGGAATGGAGTAAATGAAGATACAGACAAATGGCAAGAATGTTTAGTTGTGTACCAACTGAATCAACTGAATGACCATTGTGTTGGAACACATTGGGATACTATATTAAAAAATATAGTAAAAAATGAGTGTTGGGACAGTGCTAGGTTTGTTGAATTGAAGTTAAAAATAAATTGAACGATCGTAAGTAAAAATTGGTTACAATTATTGGTGTGGTATCCACCTTACATAGGGTCTTAACAATTTTAATTTATAAAAAATAAAAAATAATATTCTTGCTTWAGTGTATAAAGTATCACTATCCACTTTGCCCAATGTTCTCAATTCTTCCACTCTGTCCAATTGACTACAAAATACTTCCAATTWTTTGYAAATGAATTGCAAGTAGTTATATAAAATAAGTAAATACAATAAGGTAATCTGAAACATAATAAACACAATATTAGTTAAGCCAAACTTTTATGCCTTATGCCATGTCGAAGAAAAAAAGCTGTGCGATTAAGTAGACATCTGAAWGTAGTTTATCTATAAATATACAATCATAAAATCAATGTTTTAACATTTTAATTATATACCAAGGTATCTACTGCACGGAGTATGGATGTGGTCATTATCAGGGATCGAGACTTAAAGCATTTGCTTATTTTTATAGTTTGACATAAAGTGTAGCAAAGTGCCATGAAAGTGTATGTCATGTACCTACATATTGTAGTTAGCAGTAACATTCAATTATGGAATTTGTAAGTGTTTTTTTTTTCAATGATTTTTAAAAAACACTTCTTATTTCCAGTTTTTTAGATTATTTTTGCTTTTTTGCATATCTCGGTTTAATTATGAATGATGACGTGGGCCACTGACTTAACCCATATTTTAAAAATAATTCTATCATCTTTTTTATTAGTTTTTAGTCAGATACTATGACAGCTTGACTACTATATATYTTTCTATTACCTTACCTAATTACATTATTTTAATTTTGTTATCTTATGCTTTATCCCGTATTTCATCTTCATTCGAGACATCATTGCAGGATTAACAAAACTATTCCATTGCTTATTTTAATGGTTTTAAGTTCTATAAGTCCCAAACCCTTGTCATTATTTATATCATATGTATTATTATTCCTAATAKAATTCATGTTTAGGTTCAAATGATTCAAGTGTTTATGGAAACACATAATAATTTACAAAAATCAAATACAAATCAATAAATAACAAAGCCCAATTTGATTTTTTTTWWWWAAAATTACATAAATCTAAATACAAAAAGCGGATAAGTGGGTATCGCTCTGCTGTACATTGGGGGTGGGATGGACCTCTGACTAGGGTAGGTTAAATTTGATTGCAATGATAGGTATCATTGTRTACGAAAAACGATTATGAACGGAGACGGTTTATCTGTCTARGATATATTATAGATTATTAAAAATTTTCAAATCTTAGATTTAAAAAGAAAATTTTTTATGAATTTCTAGCTTAAAATAATTTTCGTGATTTTTACTTATACTTTTTGAATAATTACAAATATTTAAAATTGTTTGAGGATAAATCGTTATCGTTACACTATTTTGTAAAAATTTAAAATTCAAATGCACTTAAAATTTTTCCTATATTGATGTTTCGATTTTTCTCTATAGCTACTTGGAGGAAAACCTATGGAAAACTTAGTGTTGTATTTTTAATTCTTAGTTATAAACACAAAGCATTTTATGATTTTTCAACTTCAAAATTACTTGCAAATATTCGCGTTTTCGACAGATTTCGTAAAAATTTGAACTCTATAAACGCTTATAAAAAAAAATTATGACTAACGATTTTTAATTTTTTTTAGCTACAATAAGAACAACTCATAAGGAACCTTATATTACATTTTTAAGTATTTTGATAGGGCAAAAAATATTTTATCGACACTTCACAAAAAAATTTCAGAAAAATTGAAAATTTCAGTGGTCTATAAATATCTCAAAAAAGTCAAAATTTTTTGAAAATTAAACTTATATAGATAAAACTAGCATAAACATTTAGTGTAAATTTCAAGTATTTACAGTGATTAGTTTTTGAATTACAACTATATAAAAAAATCGATTTGGTCGAAAACTGGTTTTGCGCAAAAATTCCAGTTTTTCTGTCATTTTTTTCTCGATTTTTTTGAAAACTGTTGGAAAATGTTTACTTTTGACCTWTATAATGCACCAAGGATATTCACTTTTACATCGGAAACCACCCCCAAAGTTTGAAATTGAAGCATTATTTCGACTAGTTATGCTGTACACAGACACAAAAACAAAACAAAAAAAAAAAAACACACATCATTGTAAAATCAATACATTCATCACTTCGTTCAGAATCTAAAATTGTATATACAAAGTTATAATAAGATTATTTTATGCGTTTTGTTTATTTAAAAATGTTAACAAAATTCTATCTTCAAACCTTCATAAAAAAATTAATGTGAACTTATGCTCAACTTTTTATTTTTTAATTTCCATTAAGAGGTCGTGGTTCCCACATGTGTTATCTCCGTCTTACAATAAGCGCTCACAAATTGCCTCCTGAGATTTTTTTTTTTTTAAAAGTTAACTCGAATTGCCTCCCGAAAAAAAGTAGTTGAAAAATTTAGTGACTCTCTTGTACTGGAATCTATTTAGGTATAACCTTACATATTATAGACTGAGAAAATAAATGATAATATATGTATAGTTATAATATTTTATTAAATAGACTGACAGCTGTAATAATAATTAATAATAAAAAAAATAATAAATACAAAATTTGATAATCAGTGATCGACAAGATTATTGCATTTCACAAAATAATCTACAAAACTATCGATAGTTACTCTAAGTATGCTATATGGAGGCAATTCGGATAAACTATTTGGGTATACTCGAATTTCCTCCGAAAAAGCCCGGATGCAATTCGAGTGAAAAAAGTTTATTTACCCAAATTTGGGTGGCAATTCTAGATCATCCTTACTAGTGCGTAACATAGCAAATTTGTGAGGAATCTTCTATCAAAATTTCTAATGTATAAGCTATGAAAAGAAAAACTTWTATAAATTTCTATTTGAAGAATAATTTGACAAGTTTCAAGATTTTGATGAATCTTGTCAAAGAACTTTTTACGCATAAKAAAAATATTTGTGTTCGTGTATCTTTAATATTTTTTGTCAGTTATTAAAGCATTTTATGAGGTAACCTTACATTAAATTTTCAAAGTTTTTTACTAAGTGGAAAGTTTTAATCGACAATAATYTTTAAAACAATTTGAAAATGTTATTATTAATATTTGGTGAACATTTCAAGTGTCTATGTGGTTATTAGTTTTTGAGGTAATCAGGTAAACCAAAAAGCAAAATAAGTTTTTTTTCTAAAATTGATTTATGCGTAAGATACCATTTGTTTTTAACTTTTTTTTTCRTGATGCTTTTAAAAATTTCTATGAATTTTTGATTTAAAACGTCTTAATAGTATTAGATTCGCTTTTCTATTAAAAAAAATACTGATGCTAAAAATTTGAGTATTTTTGATATCCAAATTATTAATAAAAGGAAGAAAACGCATCTTTTTAAATGCAATACATTCATTCGCTGCGCTCAGAATCTAATATATAAAAAAAAAACAATACTCAATAAATATTTAATACATTTTTTTTTTGTATATAATACGTATTTCATGATTGGTCTACACCTTAAAGTAGTATTTTTTTATCTAATAGATACAACGAAGAGGATCACAATTGTTTTTCGTTCATAATGGCTTTCATAAAACAGTTCAACGGCTTCCATTCGCCGGTACATCATGTTGAAACGAGAGAAGACTTTGCCGAATTATACGTAGCTCCAGCCACGTTAAAAGCTTATAAATACATTTGTCTATATAGAAAAATAACTGAAAATGGTTTCTATATTTACAACCAACCTTCGAATGAAATATTATGTACATAATTAAATTATCAAGTAATAAAATGTCTATAATTAAATAAAGCTTTTCTATTTTATGCATCGTATTCATATTCATATAAATATCGTTTATCTATCTTCTGTGGTCAAAGTGGTTAAATAATTGGATACCGGATATATTTTATTTAAACATCATATTCGACGCGACGACCCCCGTCAGCATAAGTCTAAAGTATTTTTAGTTTCTTAAAGAGCCCAATATAGGCAATTTTTACAAAATTTAAGAGATTGTGAGTTACGTATTGTTGTAGATATTGTAATAACTATTGTACTTGTACAATCACAATATTTTTTCAAAAACGAATAAATTTGTGATAAATTTAATTTATTATAGATGGAAGAAGCTATTTTTTATTTCGTGAAGTGTTTCTTTTATAGTTAAGTTTTAACATTTTGTAAGATTTATTTCTTAATTAATTTTAATTTTAATTTTAATATGATTCACAGTTTACAGAGTTGTATGAGTCTCTGAGGCAAAAATAGCCTCAATTTAAAGCAAAAAATATGTGATGAGTTAAATAATTATGGACTTCAGTGGCATTATTTTATATTTTTCTTAAGAAGTCGAACAAATTAAATTTTAATATGGACCATATCTGTTAAAATGTAATTGAAAAAGCGAATGGGTAAATTCTATTATTGAAGCTTTTTTCAAAATCATGCAAACATTTGAGAATGCTCGGTTTTTTTAGAATTTCTATAGTATCAGGCATTAGTGTCTGTTTATTTGAACTAAAAAACTATAAATATTAATTGTAATTTTTATATCATGGCAATAGTTTTCTAGTGTTTATAAAACATTACCTAGGTATATAAGTATTTCATCAAAATAAGAAGAAAAATCACCAACAACCGGACCGTTCTTACGATCAGAAAGGAGCAAATGTTCACTTTGCCCCCCCCCCCCTCAAATTACGCCACTTCGTCTGTATAAGGCTTTATATTATAATTTTTGTGTCATTGTAGGTAGGTGCAATAATAGTAGATAGTAGGTAATAAAAAAAAGTGATTAATTAAAAACTCATAGTTGATTATTTTTTCTCACGATTATACACTATAGTAATTAATTAATAGGGAACTTTGTCAAAAGTGTAATCATAACATTATCATCATAATTATGACATTTTAATCTAGTAATATGTGTACATGTTTTATAGATACACGTATGTAAATATAGGTAGTATAATATATATAAATATATATAAATTGTACAACAGAATTTTTTCCAAACATTTCGTTTACAGTGAGTCGTGTTACAAAAAAAATAAAAAAAAATAAAAAAAAAATATAGGTATGTAATATTAATAATAATGAGAAGTGCGCGGGGCGATGTTGTGGGGATGATGACTGTAGTGCGAGGGGGTGTAGGGGTTGAGGGTTAATGGATCTTCCACGTTTCCCTCGTCATCAAGCTTTTGGTTTTTCCGTGGACGTGGTGGAGGTGCTTTCGGCGCCGCCATCGGTTGATTCTGAGCTTTCAATTCCAGCGATCGGTGGGTATTCGAGCTTAACGCCGGGCTCGCATTCGAACACGGGACAGCAGTCCGGGAAACTAGCTGTCTTGTTGGTCTTTTCGGACAGCTTGCACTTGGGGTTGGACTTGGGGTATGGACCACAGTCCTCGACCAGTTCCAACAGTCGGTCGGTGCCTTCACCTTGCACGCATGTGGAACGTCCGCAGAATGGTGATAGCTCCCATGTATGTCCTGGCTCCACGGTGGCACATTTAGTCGACGCGAAACACAGTCCAGGGAAATCTGTGATGGGGGCAGATACACACGTTGTCGTCACATTATTATGTTATATTTGTATATAGATCATATATTATAGTTAGCAATAATGTTTCAATTTCATGTTCCAATACCTATGTAGTTAGTTTGGCTGTTTTAATTTAGTTTTTCTTATAACCGTGAAAGTGTTAAATACTTCAAAATTAAGATTTATAATGTAGTTATCAAACATTTGCGAGCATGTGTACAACATAATATTATAATTTATGCATAATAATAGTACGGTATGGCTTGTAATTTGACCGATAGATAGGGAGTCATTATGAATTGGATAATTTTAGATTTCTATATATTATTTCAATGTAGGTAATGAGTAATAAATTATACATCTTAAATGGGACGGAGTTTTATTTTCTCTTCTTTAAAAATGCCAAACGCTGTAACAGTAATTATTATATATAGCGCTTTATATAACCTAACCTAACCTACCTAATACCTAAAATAATATTCTATAAAATAAACGTGATAGATCAAATTATAATGTTAAATAAAAAAACCTATTGTTCTAACTGTTTTGGTATTTCCAGCACCGAATATGTTTGAATGGTCAAATGGTTTATAATAACAACTTAGAAGTACCTACCTATCTAACATTACGAATAGATAGTAACTATACTACGATAGCAGTAATGGTTATTATTGAATAATCCTAACAAGTTGATAAACTTGTATATGATTTACACTTATAAATGTTATCTTGGTTGTTTTATTGCGCTCTTATAATTTTATATCAAGTTAGAATGTGTCCATAATAAGCCACAGTTATAAACATCAATGTTCTTGAGATTTCTATTTTGATTTGCGAATAATCGAACCCGTGTCAAAATAGGCTTTGCTGTTAATGGAAAGCGGTCACACTTCCTCGGTTCAATTAAGGCCGTACCGCTGTTTTGTTTTATGGACAACGAACCTTCGCGTTATATCTACTAAGCTGGCAACATTTTAGTGACAACCAAACATGGAGAAAATATCACGGTGATGTGGTGTGTAAATGTAGATTGCTATAAAATAGCAATGCGTGGGACATATTATGCAAGGTTTAAACGATTTATATCATAAAACTATAATATTTATAAGGTCGTGAATTCGGACAGTTGCAGTCTAGCTATTAAATTCATCTCAATTAATATTGCATTCCTTACTATAAAGGTTAAATGCATTTAATTCGATGGATTTAAAATATTTTAACAAACCTCTTAGGACATCTGCCGGTATGAGCCTGCGGTAAATTCTGATCGTTGCTTCAGCTTCTGGTGCGGATGTCGATGATTTTTCGTCAGCAGAGAGTACAATCGCAGCCACTCCCAACACCATTGCCAAAACACTCAGTCTGTAATCCATTTTGTTTTGATGGGTAACACTGAAAATAAAATAAAATATTTATTTCCACTTTTTTTCTTATTATATCTTGTAACAATAATTCTAGATTATTGACGCGCTTATACACATACATATACATAAGAGTTCCTCACGGCAGTCAATATTCGTGTTGTAGATATTTTAAATTTAATACAAGTTGTTAAGAGAAAATCAAAGTCACAACACTCACAACCAATGTATTATATGGACATGACTTGAATTAAATTGGTAGCTAATGGTATATCGTTAGTTTATATACCCATACAAATTATTTTCTTATTCAAATATTCAATTAACTGAGTTTTACGAGTATAAATCTAAAATCGTGAATGAATATCACGATGAATACGAATAATAGTTGATGATAAATGTTTGCTCTCGAAAATATATTCCCAACCAAAAATGCTTAAAMTTCAAACGAACAATATTATCTCATTGAACATCACATTGGTGTTTCTGAAACTTATTGCAGTTATTTCTTATCATTCTTTCATCGCTATCTTAGACTACTGTATTAGATTATTTATTTGGGCCCCGCTGATTAGGTATAGAAGGCTTTGTTAGTTCAGTTATTTTTCATTTTTAGATAATAAATGTTGATTTACGCTATTTCATCAATAAGTATAAAGTATAATCAATGCTTTTTAACATACAATATTATTGAAATACATTTGAATTGTTTTCATATTACCTATAGGTTAGGTACAAATAGATATCAAAAATATTTATAACCATGATGGTAGCCAAAGCCAACGAACCAGACATTTCACCAGTTCACCACGGTAAAACTATATAAGACAAATAGTTGAGCAATATTATTTTTTTGAAATACCTCACAACGATATTTTATTCAACTAAAATATATATTTAGTCATCTAGGTAATACACTTTTTACTCAAATGAAATTGTCGTGTTCAAAAACCACTCGTTAAGTTTACATTGTAGTAAAAAGTAATTGGTTAAGTTAAAAGTTGTACGAGAAACAAAAACTTTCAACGTTTAAACTAGTTAATTTCCAACCTCGAAATTAAATATTAATAATAATACATTGCTGCAGTGACATATTATTATATATTTTGTATGTTTTAGTTTGAGTGTCCGAATGGTTCAATCACGATGATAAATATTTATAACTTTAAAACCAATAATAATAGACAAGATTTTTTTAATATAATTGACGAAATAAGTCACATTAATTAGTGATCACTATTCACTATTTTCGCTATTAAGAAATATAATTTCGTTAATTCCGTGGAAATATGATGATCGATCGTTAAAAATCAAAGCTGTTTACCAATACGACACGTTCGTTTTTGGATTTAATAGTTGCTCCGGGTAAAACATTTCCCACTGTACATAAAAGGCAGCATATTTGACAAGATAGTGCAGATCGAACTAAAGCGTTGAAATGTAGAACTTATTGACGGTCATATTAACAGTGGGTACATTTATATTTATAATTTTATGCGTATAGTGTGTTCGTAGTATTTTATATTATTACCTACCCTGTAAGATAATATTTATGTTATTAAATATGTGCGCGCAAGTAGTGCCCTCCGCCGATTCGCGTAATATACAGCGTCGATAAGTACCTACATGTCCTACAATATAGTATATACTTTGCATTAATAAACGACTACTTTCCCGTCATTAATATGTATGTATTATTACTATTACTCGCGTAAGAATACGGTGAAAGGTTATAACAATATAGGTATTATATTTAAGTAAAATATTATTATTTCATGTGTGTACTGCGTATAGTAGCCAGTAGGTATACGCCGTATACGATTCACGTCCAAGTAATAGTTGCGCTCGTAAAATACGATGACAACTAGGTGATTTCTATRCATTATTGTCTTGTTCTTAGTCGATATCTGTTCAAAAACGATTTGTCCAAAAATTATCGTTGGTTCAGTGTACCTATTGTTGAATTTTATTAATAATGCATATAATATATAATATATGATAGACTTGAGTGAAAATCGCCTATAAAAAATTAAGAGTGCTTAATCAACACCAAACAAAACATGTTCAGGCGACATATCCATCTAAAGCTTAAAGTGTTATGAATAAAAAATACCATCTAGGTACTACTACTGTACTAGGTAGTAGGTAGTTGTCAATACTAGCCCACTACTGAATAAGCACTTATATAATATTATAGTGCTAGTGYACTTGGCCCTGGGTAATTCTTATCAGTCTGTTCATGTTAGAATAGTACATTTAACTCGATTTACCAAAACCGTTCGGTTTAATATTATAATATTTATATCATATAGGTACTCGTGTATGTGAGTGTGTGTGCGTGCGCCAGTATACATATAGAATACCTAATAATATATTCGAATGCGTGTGTGCACAACGCTTTCACTTCCAGGAGATAAAATCAAATCACGTCCACTTTCAAGGACTAACTATATATTATGCAACTTCCTTCAAGGTTTCAGTTTCACATTTAAATTAGTGAAATTATCGTCTGTTTCGAACTCGCTCGCTCGCTCGCGTTGCCGTATTTCTGTGGTTCACTGATCGTCCCTCCTTCTTCTGCAGCCAGTTGCAGGCAAATCGATTTTTTCCCCTATTGGCAGGTATAYGAACCGCATTTGTTGCCGGGTTTTTAACATCTCCGACGTTACGAAATCTACTCGAATAAAATCGTTTTCCGCCCAACCATGTATAATAGGTATGTATTCTGGTTTCACACTAGTTTCGGTTCAGCTAAACTGATGTTATTTAGTATAAAATAACAGATATGGCATTGTTTTTGTACCTACGATTATGGATAGGTAGGCAGTCAGGCCGGTATAAGTATTTCAGTTTTTTTCCGTAGTTATGATTTAGATTTTAGATTGCAGTTTGCTGCAGAGAGGGTCTTACTGATCTTCAATCCACTCTAAGTGTATTACTCTCCCTTGCTATATATACAAATATATATATATAATATGATTACATTGGCTATAGCCTTTTTATATAGTATACAGCCATATGGGTATAAAGGACGGGCCACCGAGTTTTCCTAATTTTCCATACAACTAACACAGTAAACTCCATGTATATGTCACTAGTTRTAAAATAAATATCAGAGAGCCAGAGAGGATCACGATATTTATTATTGAAGACACTTGTTTGAAAAACGACGTCATCGCAAACAATTTCAAATACAACGATTTTTATTGCTTATCATAATATTATATACTAGGCTAGGATTAAAGAATAAATAATAATATTTACTTCATCGGATCGATGAATCTGATTGATCGGGTAAAAGTTCTAAATAATTATCAAATACTGTGATCATATCATATATGAGAGATATCTTATGTAGCTGTTTAAAATGATTGTGTTTCTATCCAATAATAACGTATTTGATGCGTTAGATTAGGAAAGTCGACTTTATGTTGTCAAGTCCGCAGGAGCGGATCGACTAATAGTTAATTGAGTATACCAAAGTATACCAAAAGTGCAATCGATTCAATAAATATTTACGAGTAAAATAGCCGTTACTATATTATTGCATATTCTTTCGATTCTATAACTTTATAAATGTATAATTACCCCAATACTCCATCCGTTCATTTACATCATAAATCATAAATAATATGAAATGACGAAATAGTGTAAATAATAATTGGTTTTAAAAACAATCCTTCCTCAAAAATCTGCTGAGCATATTAAACGTGGACATCCTTTTTTTGGATAACAGGAAAAATTCTTTAAAAAAATAAGCATATCGCTTGTTCGTCTAACCTAACCTATACATAGTATGCGACTCTCACGTCTGATGCTCGTCGAATTATCGCTTGCTAGGACCGTGTAAACTGCATTATAACAAAATATAAATAATAACTACAACAATATCCGGTTCATTTGTAAATAATATGGTAATGTTTCGTATTATTCGTGCACATATGCAATATTAAACAATATAGATACCTAGTATAAGAATATATACACTGTAGGTAAAAGTAGACAATAAACAAAGGCGTGCGTACATTATGACAAATTTGTTATATACCTATTGTAGTAGTYTTTCAAAGACGACCGTCTGAGATGTTCAAGAGAAATTCTGCATAATGACATGTTATATCATACCATGCAGGAGCAGACTTGTTTTAGAGGACGAATCCTTGGGGTCGTCGTGTCGATCGGTTGGYGTCGTCGACAGGCCGTGGCGACGAACAGTTTTCGTAATTTATTTTTAATATATTGTTATTATTTTCGTTTCTTCTTGCGAGATGCGGCATGGACGACGGTGACTAGAAAATCCGCAGAAAACCGTGTCCGGTTTCTCTTTCTGCAGACTCTGCGGACTCGAGAAAACAGTTTCCGGTTCCAATGATGTTCCATTAATCGTTTTATTGACGGTATAAGTTATACGATTTGTGCACGCGTTCTGATTCTGACAAATTTCATTTTGACATAATAATATTATAATAATTTAAAATACAATAATCGTGGACGCGATGTCTTGGTATAAAAGTAAGTAGGAAACTGTACCGAGTATACCGTGGTATAATGTCGGTACACACTAAAACGCGCGTTGAACCTTGGTCCAAATCCAATCCTACGTACATGCCGTCGTCATTGCACAATATATGTCATCGTCTCGTCATATTCACTGTTGTTTCGTTGACCGAGTCGAACGACTGATGATGATTATGATTATTATTATTATTGTTACTCATCGTCGCACGCCACATTGTCTTCATCGTTACGTAGTAGGATAATGATTTACAGGTAATTAGCGCACGTGTCCGGCACTCAGCCGARACCACTGATTTCAATTTTCACGGCCATTATAATATAAATTATATTGTTTTCATTTAGGTTTTATACGTAGACACGATGTATCTCTGATTTCGGCGTATTAAAAAAAATATTTTCATTCAATATGGTTAGATATAGATGAGTAGTGGTTATATTATTTAGTTTTTACCAGTTTTTATTTACAAAATGTATACTTCATTACATTATGCAGCGGTGCTGTCGATGTTCCAAAGTATTTTTTCGGTTTCCGATCGTTCAAACAACACAAACGGGTTAACACACAACGAATGAACGAAATGGAAATTTCAAAACATTAGCATTTCGTTCGGCACGACTTATGACGTTAAATCAAAAGATTGAAAGATTAAACAAAAGTGAAAAAGTATTAATTTTAAGTAACGATAATAAAATATATGAACTTTGAATTTCCGAAATGTTTTTTTTCATTTAAGCATGTCGTCTTAATAATATATCTTATTAACAAAAATGAAAATTTCAGTAAATTAGTAAAAGTTTAAAACTGTTTTTATTGTTGTTTGACAATACTTCATCCCATTGAATTACACATAATTTTTAATTTTCATACGACAGCTGTCCATTGATATTTTAACCGAAGCAAAAGAACTATTTACTTTGAATTAAATTAGAAAGTGTTTTCCTGAAATGTGTTTTGTTTGTAGGTGAATTTATAAAACAAGTGGTTAACTAATTATTACCTATTAGTATTTTTATTACTATTAGTGGGTTGTACCTCCGTACATAAGTACATTATGCGTACCTATTCATATACAGTAGGACATTATTCAACTATTGTTACGAGCTCTATTAGCTTATATCTAACAAAAATGATAGAGCTATTGTGGAGCAACCGAAACAAGAATGGACTTCAAATAAATGATTGATTAGAATACTCATAAAATGTATTATGCTATGCCTGGATGTGTTATAATTTGTAAATGGCGAATTTTCGAGAATCAAGATTTTCACAAACAAAATTTAATGTAGATCCAAACGTCACTATAAATCATGTTATATATGTACCTACCCATATAAGGTAAATAAAACTACGAACTTTGAGGTTATAAGTGGTATAATAGGTATATTATATTATATCAATTGTAATCTCATGATATAAAACTAAATATGTCACAGAGACAAAACAATTTATTCGATCAAATCCATTAGAAAAGCGACGATATAAAAGGATATTTTGAATTTAGAAATAATAATATAAAAGAGCTATATAAGTGTATGATAGTAGATAAACGGATTTGCACCGTCGAAAGCATCCAACCATGCTTTATTTATGTATACGACTTAGCGTCTAACTTTGAAATTATTTTTCTGTTCTCAAAGAATATTTTCTAATCGTAAAATAACTTGATTTATTTTATATGACTTAATATCTGGTGCTGTGAACATTGGTATATTATATTATCTACTCGGAAACATCATACCGCTCGTTTCAACAAATAACGGATGTTAAGAATCAACAATTAAAAATAATGTAATTGTTATTGCGTAGAAATTTTAACAGAAAAATATTTCCGTCTAGGTACAGTCGTATATAGACGTCGTTGATTTGTATGAAATTTCGAAAMGTTGCCGTTGATTAGAATATAATCATTATGAAACATAAGTAATAACAATTAACAAGTACACTATACTATACTCAAGTACGTACCTATCACCTTCAAAAAAACTAATCACCTGCAATATTCATTATTGTTTGTAAAACGCCCTGCTTACCATGGATTAATGGTATTTTAATTTTCCTTTTTTCTCGATCTGTATATAATTAAAATTCTAACTATTTCAATTAGGATAATGCAATAAATACATTATTATAAGTCAATTAATAATTAAAATAAAACCTTGTACATTTTATTTTAAATTGAATAATCTTTTTTTCAATAATTATTTCATTCCTGAATAAATATTTAAAAAAAAAACCACAGTAATCATCATAATATTCGAAATAATTGCAAACAAGTTTTTAAGTATGTTTGTTTTTAAATTGATATCTATATAATTCTATAATTTGTACAATAATTATCCACCCTTTCATAATAATTTTTTTTTTTTGTGTAAGTAATAAATTATAATAATACTTAAATAATATATTACATACGATAATATACATAATATAGTAACACTATATGTTTAGTTTAATTGAAAACAAAATAAATGATTTCACGAGTGTTCGAATATATATATTTTTTTAATTTCTTGCAGTAAATTAAATAAAAATATGAGTTTCATAATTTACAACATGAAAAATAACTAGTAAGTAAAATTTGATAATTTTGCAGAAGCAAATATAACACTCATATAAAAAAAATAAAAAGTCATTATTAGCGATGATACGTCGGAAATAAAAATAGCTAAAAGTATACATTTATTTTATAATACTGACAAAATATGGTTTTATTTATTGCTATCCCGAGATTTTATTTTTATTTAAAAGATTAATGGTAATTAATCAATAATTTTTGTGTTGATCTGGGTATAATATAATATATTGTGACACATCGCATGATATTTTGAATTAAATAATCAAAAAAAAAATGTATAATACAATTACCTAGCCAAATTTTTATTCAATAAAATGTTTACGATCAGCTGCTAAAGATTGATTAATGTATGCTATCGGCAAACATCATATTGGCTTTGTGGATTTGCAATCAGTGAGATAAATAGTAGCTAGATAATAATATTATAATATTGAAAAAAATAAAATACTAAAAAGCCTAAATCGTAAAGCATGTAATTTAACAAGTATATAATACATAATATGTCTAGTTCAAATGTGGCTGACACGCGATATGTGCATTACAGTGCATTATTTGTATTAAACTCTCTCAGAAAAAAAAATATAACACACAGCTATAATACTACCTATCTACCATTATTGCACGAAAATACAGCGTATTTCAAATACAACGACGTTAACGACTCGTATATTGTATATAGCTACAGACGCGTTTTTTCAAAAATCTTCAGATTTGCTGTAAAACGATTACCAACACAATACAAGGCGTATTAATATAAATCGGTTAGGTTAGGTACAATTCAAATGACTGGAGAAAATAATTTTTTAAATAGAAATGAAAGTGTTATTTTGCTCATCATATCATACCAACCACAATAAACAATTCGTTTTTGGGGGCTGGTAGGTAAGTTCGATGTTTGAATCATATAATGTAACAACAGACACATTATGTCTTTATCTAATTTTATTGTTCGAAGCCATTTAGAAAAGACGTAACTGTGCTTTGGACGATCTATAGGCATAACTATAATAAAAGACGTATTGGGACGTAATTATTAGTAAATATGATAAATTATAAATTATAACGATGTGAAAAAACAATGATAATTATTATAATAGCCTTAATAGTAGGTACGATGGTACATAATATAATATTTTATACTTACGTGGATGAGAAGGTGTCTGTTGCCGAGTTGTATAGCAGAGCTATATATATACCTAATAGGTAAATTATATATAGATGCGGGTAAGTCGGATCCGGCGGGTGAGTTGACCGGGTGTCGCAGCTTCGAATTATGTCTGTATGTGACAGGTACTGTGTGCAGCGGTCGGTGCTGTTTTAAATGAACCACCTCAAGACTACGTCTGATTGTTTTATATAGGTACAAACAGGTAGCGGAGCGGGGGCGGGGACGGTCGAAATCGCGGCGGCGGCGGAGGAGGCCGCCTTCGCAGTGCATTATATTATTATTATTATCATTATTATTATTATTAGATATTATTATTACTGCTGATAGCCAGTCGCGGTGGGGAACATTGGTTTCACTCTTCGCGTCGAGTAATACCTACATTAAATTATATTATTTTATTTTTCTTAGAAATTAAGAAAATACAAGAGCCTACTCGTATATAGTATAAGTATATGGTGATCATCAATGTATATGTATTATACATCATTTCGTATAGGATACTTATTGGGCATGGTATAATAAATAATTTACTATGAATCTTATACTACCTACGCTTAATGCTTATTAGGTAGGTACATCTTTAAAGTTAGTACAGAGGACTAACTTATTTTTATTACTTATAAGTAGTTAAGCTTGGTGAATGATATTTTAACTACGGGCAAAGCAAAATGTTTATTTTATAATTTTATAATTTTATCAGGATATATATTATATAGACAAACATTTCTGTTCATTTGTTGGTTCATTTGTATCTATATAAGTTTAATAATTGTATATGTTTTCAAACTATACAATTTAGTATGAATATCAGACATCTCACAAACATCCCACCAATTTGTTTCGCATTGAGAACGTAATTTTACCTCACGCTATTGAGGATTAATATATTGTTTAAAATTTTAGTTCTACAAATCATCTATAGCTATTCCTYCATTTTTCGAGGTCATTTTTTCTAGATTACTGAAGAATCATACTTACGTTACACAATAAGTTTTATTTTATAACCACCTAAAGATAGAAAACAATGTTTATATCGTTTAATTTTTAAAGTGTTTGTAATTTATGTTATTTTTTACATAAATTTATTACTTCAATTTTAACTTAATAGTCTATAGCTCTGTTGTTTTTCTGTAGTTTGTTGTTGTTGTTTTTTTTTTTTAGTGCTAGGTGCTACTTTTAATATGTTATAACGATCTATTTGTATATTTTATATTCACGTACCAATATGTATTATATGTTTGTCATATATAAATATTTACYCCATCGGCCATCACCTATTGAGAGGGCAGGTCCCCCACAATGAAGGGAGGCTGTTGGACTTAGAGTTAATAGGGACCCGGCTATTTCAGGGGCTCGTTGAAAGAAATTTGTAATTTTTGAAATTTTGATAGGAATACTTATTTTATGTTAAATAATATTTTATATAGGACCCTTAAAAGCATTTAGTACGAGAGCATGAAATTTGATGTGATACACCTGCCTATGTGTATATATTTGTGTATTTTTCTTAAATCTTGTTATATTTTTCACATCGTTATGCCGATTATTATTACGTTGTCTATGCGTGTTCATGAATTATTTATGTGTATATCAATTCCAGTTGGCTGGAGCTGCTTGCTTAAATTATGAATTATGATCATTATTATTATGTATTACGCATAGAATTTTCAATGAAATGCTAAGATATTGTTCTATTGATGTGTAATATTTTTATTTATTTAATTTTTCCTTGTACCTACATTGTAATCCTACACGTATATATATATATAGGTATAATATACATGTTATATATATCTATGTCCTATTGTCCTACATATATATGATGTAATGTAATAATTATTTTGAGTTATTTTAGTCAAATGTATAAATTAATTGTTAAAACAAAATATTCTTAACTCTGTATAGGTATAAGTTTTTTTTTTTTTTTGAATTTCTACCTTTGTCATACATATAGTGATTATGGATCTTTCAAATTGTTGTTAATCAACCATTTTGATCAATATTCATCCTAATTAATCCATAACGATATTAACCATATTTTGAGTTATCTAATATTTACATTTGAGTCTCGTTTAAATTATTTAATCAATAAAAATATTTAATATTTTTATTTATAATTATTGTTTAAAAAAAACAACCTATCAATTACTTGACTTGAAAATTACATTTAATGTCCACTTTTGACTCTTGTATCATTTGGGTGTATTAATTAAGTATGGGTTGAATATTAAATCACCTATGATTATCGAAACAATAAGACAATTGCACTATTACAATAAAATTAAATAATATATTTATAATAATAAACGTTAACAATGTTTTATTATGATATATTTTTTTAGCGTTTGGGTGTACTTCTTGTTTATTTCTAAACCATAAGGAAAATTTTTTACCCAATTATTTTTCACAGATATTATTGTTATTATGCTCGGATAAATTCTTGCCTTTTATTTCGTTTTCAATGGAATTATTAATTATCATATTTTCCAGTTGTGGTATGGACCGGACCGAGAACAAAAAATGTCCAACAACAACCTTGGAGACAATGATTTAGTCCCAATTATTTTATGCGGTAGTAACAACTATAAATACGGCATGGTTATTGAACAATCTATATTGTACAAATGACCCAGAATGTATCTAATCCGCATCATTGTTTGTTGTATTTTTTTACAGCCCGCGGTTAATCTATGTATATAATTTTCCTTCAAAATTTTTGGTGGTATGATAAAAAAGTGGTTCTAGATTTACGATTTTCTTTTTTACACCGTTTTCACTGGGTGGATACCTACTATTTATAGAAATAAATATAGCCAAAAGTACCTACTATATAATTATTTATACCATATAAGTTTAATAGAAGTTATTACTATTGTGCGTTTTATTACACATTAAATACAAACCTATTTATATATTATATTCATGAAAATGGCGCACATTTGAGGTTTAATTCGACATTATGAATGTTTTAAAATATTAAGAATATATCTTTGATACGATATATTTGTAATTTAATGGCTGATATATAATATAAGTTTACTATTTTACAAATTGTATTTATATTTTGAAAAATATATTGTCCAGAGCTTTGATTTTTAATTTGTAAAAAGTCTAGTCACAATGTTGACACATCTTATGAGATCTCTTAGGTGCGTCATGCCTACTTGAATTTTAATCGTTTTTGTATCATAATTAAACAAAAATATTATTTGATTTTATTAGCAAGACATGCCATAATATATAGATGCGTAATTAGAGGGAGCGAGAGACTAAACCAGTCCAAAACATTCAAAGCCTTCTAAAACAATCACTTAGAAGTGGAATTCGTTGATTCACTACTTTCTTATTGATCATTAACATCTAAAATTTTATCATAATATAAAATTAAATAATAATAAAGAAAATAAAAATGTATTTTTCATATAAATATATATATTTGTAGGTAGTTAATAAATATTTAAGATTTGAAAAAGAAATTTTTGCTAACCAATTTAATAATACGAATATATTGGTAGATCCCCTATAGCAGGGATGGGCAACTCAAAGTAACGAGCGGGCCACTTTTAAGTACTTTAAAATCTAGCGGGCCGCAGTGCATAGGAGAAAGCAACAAAAAAAAGGTCCTTCGAATTTACTAACATTTATTTTTTATCTTTATTTATTTATATTTACAGTTATTATTTAATGTGATACTTGAGGATGAGGTTTTATATGAAGTAATTTGAAAATGTTGCGCGGGCCAGATAAAAAAGGTACTCGGGCCGCCAGTTACCCATCCCTGCCCTATAGCATTCGTGGTCGTTAATCAATAAGCTTTATTATAGTAATTTAAGTTTTTACGATTGATTGCTTTCTGGACAGCTGCAGCACTGCAGGTTATACAAAGTAAATAGCGTTGTATAGTATGAGGAGCTATTATCCTACAGCTATGCAGTCCATACACATAAAGTGTTTTTGTTCACATTTTTCTATAGAGATGTGTGAAACGAAAGCTTTTGAGTGACACTGTTTAAAAAATTGAGGGCTTTCCCTCCTAAATGTTTTAATTTGATTGCGCTTATGCAATAGTACAGTAACATAATATGATAAACACATTGAACGCAGCTAAACAACTTAGTTAAATAAACACGTAAGAATTAGAAACATAAAAACATAAAACATGATACAGTATTATACAAAACCGTTATTATGATGGCTTTTATTACTTGGCCGCAAATTTTATTACCAGAAACGTTTTTGCAGCTTGCCCTCCACGGCGGTTATACTCTGCAGCTGTTGTTTGCAGATATTATATATACTGGCCTGATACCAATATTGTGTTCAGTACGGCACCATAGTATAATGATGGCCAATGATGCATCACCAAATTTAATGACAGCATTCACAAAAAATGTAAGAGTGCAATTTTATTTTAATGGATTGCAATTAAATTCCGCTAATAATTTTGGTTTAGTTATGTTTATATTGAATAAACATTATTACTGTGGGTATATACACGGTATTTGTGAATTTTTAGGCGCAGATATTGCCTTATGAATTATTAATAATTTAATCGCATCGAATTGTATAATATAAGTATATAATGCATCATGGTAATAATATTATGATAATAATCGTATATAAACTGCAACCTGATGACTATAATATAGTGAACCGGTTTCCGAGTGTTATTATATGTTTCCCGATCCTAAAGTCGTTATAATAATATTATAATATACCCAGTCGAATGATTTACTCACAACCACGTGTGCTGCATTATTACTGGTCCTTCCGGCCGCGATATTTCGTACGGAGCGGTGCTATCTATTATATTTGTATATATATACATAATATGTATWTTGTATATATATATATATACGTATTGGCATATATGTTAAGTATGTTAAGTCAAAAGTTGTTTCACGACGAGTCTAGACAACTGCACGATTATAAAATGGTAGATATTGCCGTATAGGTAATTAAATGTAATGCTCATTTTGGTCGTGTAATAAACGTGACCGATCCTAACACTAATATGTATGTGCATATACGAACCAAAAAAAAAGTACCTATACCATAAGACGAGAGGTTATTTGGATCGATACATACTGTATGTTTATATAGATATATATACGGACAAATAGATAAATAATTTCTCGTATTATAGTACCGATATAATATTA